CCACAACTGGGGCCTGGGATTGAACCTGCAACCCAGGTATGTGCCCTCGACCGGGAATTGACACTTTGACCCTCTGGTACTCGGGCCAATGCTGCAACCACTGAGCCACACTGGCTCGGGCAGAAGAACTTTATTTCTTAATGTCTGTCCTTCAGCTCACCCTTGGATGTGTCCGCCTGGTCGGTGCTCCTGGACTGAGTCTTGGATCTCGTGTTTCCTTCACATTGTGCTGTGTGACTAGAATACCTGTGCTACAGGAGTAGATGGGAGAATCTTTTTGGAGTTGCCTTAAAGAGTCTTCCTCTATTCCAGTGGCTTCTGCTGACTGTCAGGCGTGCCCAGGAAGAACATGGGACCTTTCCCCGACTCCAGGGCCAGCCTGGGGTCCTGGATTTCAGGGTGCCTGGAAACATCTGGTCTTGGTCCCCGGCTGGTCACATAGCACAGACTTGACAGAAACAAACAGTGTAATGTTACACGTTAGGAAGCAAGGACGTAATAAAACGGCCTGCCTAGGGAAGTAATGGAGAAAAGGAAATGGGAACAGTCTCGGAATTTTGTGAAAAGGAGCCTGGATCAGAAACAATTCCAGCTTCCTCCACTGGGTGGTGGTTTGTTTCATTCTACTCCATGCTTCCAGTCACCGGGCAGGTCCACACACAAAAAAATCCGGGCCAGTTCTGGGCACTGCCCTTTGAAAATTCTGAAGAGCTGGGGAGATTTACTTAGGTAGAATTCTCTTGCTTTTTACACTAGTTGGATATGTTTTTTAGAGGATTCTTTTTCTATGCCTTTTACCATCATTCCCGTGAAGACAAAGTTCTTTCATAGCTATAGTCTTGTACTTAATGTTGTGCCAGGCAAAGAGCAGGTGCTTCTTAGTTACGCGCCCACGGATTCAGTGAATGGGGCTCCGGTTACAGCAGTTTCTATCTACACCAGGGCTCGGCGTACCCTTCTTGTCAACAAGGGTCAGAGGGGTGTTGTAGGCTCTGCGGACCTTACAGGCTCCGTGGCAGCAGCTGGCTGCCGTCATAGCTGTGAACTCAGCCAGCAGTGTGGCAGGGTCAGCCTGCGTCCCAGTAGAACTTAACTTACACGGACGGGCGGTGAGCTGCATGTGGCCGCTGCTGTAGTTTACCCCGATCTTTACAGAAGCTCGCACAGGCACTGGACCCTGTGGTGAAAAGGTCCCGAGACTGAGGATCTGTGAGTGGCAGAGACGAGGCCAGGTGTTCACCAGATCCCATTCCACTTTCCACCTGAGCGCAGGAGAACCCCATTTCCAGCTTCCTGTGCAGGCAGGGGGCCTCTTGTGACTAGTTCTGGTTCATGAACTGTGTCCAGAGGTGAAGTCCACTCTGTTGAGACCTAGCCTGTAGGTGTGCAGCCCACTGCTCCATGCTCTCCTCTGTCACCTGCCAGCTGGTGAAAATAGTCCAGCGCAGGACCCCAGGGCCCTGGGAGGTGGTGGGACACTGGATGGGGGGGGGGTGCCTGGGTCTCTGGATATGGAGCAGAGTCCTCTCCACCCCCGCCCTTGACTCATGTTGGACTGAGAAAGATGTAAAGTGTATGTGTGTGTGTTGTTGAGGCACTGAAATTTTGGGGTCATTAGCTTCTCCTCTCTAATAATACCAAGTTTCGGCTCAGATATGGATAAAGGAAAGTAAAGACTAAGAGGAGCTCAGAGCCGTTCCCTCCTGCCTGGCACACCTCTGATTTTGGGGGAGCAGGGGGTGAGGAGATGTGGGTGCAGGAAGTGGTACTGCAGTTTGGGTCTGAGAAACCAGGGCCTGGAGAGAGAGCCACTGGGAGGTAGGCATGGGGAGGCGGGGGGTGCCAGAAATGAAGCCAGATCTAAGTGGCTTTTTAAAAACTTGTATATGAACCGCACTAACCCTGTACCCTAGTCAGTGAGAAAGCCGGCCTCGGAGCGGCAGCTCTGGGCCCTGCAGTCCCGGGCAGTGGATGGTTCAGGGGCTTTCCCAGGGAGGACCCGGTGGGGAACTGGGCTGCCTGCTGGGCTCTGGGTCCAGCCAGAGGGGCTCGCTGGGCTTGAGAGGCTCTGTCACCCAGGCAGCCGAGAGTCCGTGTGTGAAACCAGCAAGGCACCCCTTTCGTGAGCAGCTCCTTTCACTGTCACCCTGGGAATTTCCAAGCCAAACACACATGTATTTCATCTGTTTTCCGTGTCCCTCCTCCCGGGCAGTGGAACTGGTGGCTCTGTTTGGAAAAGAAGAGAGGAAGCCAGAGATGAGCTCAGTGTTTGAGAAACTGGCCATGTTTCTGTTGCATCCGCTGAATTTGCTCCCATAATATTTACCTCTTTGTGATTTTTCTTTCATGAAACGAATGTGTGAGGCAATTTCAACTCAATATGCTCCCCTAGCCTGGGACTGTCCTGTGAACTACAAACCATTTTAACCACGCGCATCCTGGGCATCTTCACCTAGATGTTGGTGACGGCAGATTCAGCATGTCCCCTTCCCCAGCCACAACATTTCCCTAAACCCGACCCTCTTCCAGCTCTTCTCCCCCTCTTCCCAGGAGATGAAGCCAGTCTTAAATGGCACAAACTGTTCCCACATTTATAAGGGGCCCCTGCGCATAGAGGCTGTGCCCTGTCGAGGTGGTTTGAACAGACCCATCAAAACGCCCCTGCTCCTGTGTGTGAAATCGCCTAGCCCGGCCAGAGGGAAAGGCCACACATCCCCTCTCTTCCCAACACACAGGCATCGTTAACAGTGGACAGTAAGCCCTCACTTAACCTTGGTGATGGGCTCTGGGGCTTTAAGCGAAACTACACACATCAAAACCAGTTTTACAGGCTGATAAAAACGTCCTGCCCGAGCATCCTTGTGCTATTTCCTTGTGATTTTCTGTCTGTTAGATACATTTTTATGAATGCCACAAATGTTCACTGGACGCCTGCGTCAACAGAGGGCACCTGTCCTTTGCCAGACGCTGGCCTGGGTTCTGGGAGGTAAGGACTCTGCCTCGTGGCATTGCCTGACTTGTGGGGAAGACAGAGAAGAAAACAGATACTTTAAGTCTAGAGGGTGAGAAGAGATCATGTGATCCTTCTGGGAAGAGGGAGGGTGAGAGCAGAGAGAAGGAGGTGGGAGACAGCCCTCTGTCCCGTACAAACACTGTCCAGGTCTCTACTTATTCCCTCTGGCTGAGAATAGGGCAGGTAATGCCAAACGTGCCAGCGGGTGGGGTTAGAAGTCGTGGTTTAAGGGCCATCAATGTGTCCTGCTTTGCAAACAAGAAATATTAGGCATCTGCTATAACAATAATGCTAATTCTACTTACATTTGGGTGTGATACTTTATAAATCAGGTTCCCCTGAAAATCACTGGCTCCTTTTACAAACGAGGGCCCTGAGGCATGTGACTTGTTGGGGTCCTTAAAAGTGCCAGCTGCACAACTTAGAACCCAGGGTCCTGATTCCCGGCCCAGGGCACTTCCCACTAGTCCATCCCGGTGCGGCCTTGTTGGAGACCCTGCCTGCCGGAGGGTCCCAGCCTAGCGGAAGAGTTTATGTCCGATCTTGTGACGGATGTGGTGCGAAGTTCTGTTGACTTCATCACAGCCTCGGGCGTGCTCGAGCCAGGTGAGTCTGAACTCCCTGTTCTCTGGCTTCCTGCTGAGAATGAGTAATGCAAGAGCAACTTTTCCGGGGGTACCATATAGGCTCGAGATCACAGCTGCCAGATAGACGCTTTGCTGACTCACAGCTGCCAGTGCACCGCCAGCTCTCCATGATGTAATTGCTCTGGGACTCTGCAGGATGGGAGAGCGAGGGAGGGGCCGGGTCCTGCCTCTCCCGGCAGCATTCTCTCATCTGTTGCAACTTGCAGCCAAGGATGGGATGCTGAGTCTCCGGGACCAGCACGTGGACGTGCTGTGGATGCAGGCCAACCTTACCATTTTCATTTGCTAAGGTCTGGAAAGATTTCTGGGTCTTGTGCGATAATGTATGTACAACCCTGGCACATAGTAAGTGGGCAATAAATGGTAGCTGCTGTAATAGTAATAATTACAGTAATAATGTTCTTAATTACTGAAGCAGGGTAATAGTATTAGAGTGATAATTATTTAATAATGATGGTGATAATAATATACATAATAACAGAACAGCAATCAATGGCACAGGGATGGGGGGTTGCTATGGGACTGATTCTCCCAGCGGGAGTTTTATCAGTGACACGTGACCATAAAAAGCAGACTCACCCTGGCCGGGTGGCTCAGTCAATTGGAGCATTGTCCTGAACACCAAAAGGCTGTGGGTTCGATCTCTGATCAGGGAGCATACAGGAGGCAACGGATCGATGTTTCTCTCTCTCAAATCAATAAAAACATATCCTCAGGTGAGGATTAAAAGAAAAAAGGCCAACTCTATGAGAACACTCTGTACTTTCTACCCAGTTTTGCTGTAACCCTAAAACTGCTCTATAAGGTCAATTAAAAAAAATCTTTAAAAGAGGAAAGAGAGTAGACTGGCCTTCATTGGTGTTACTATTGTTTTTCAATTCTCTGAAGACAATGCACTCCTTTGCTGTTTCCACCCACTTCTGCCACCCTGCCCTTGGTTTGCCACTGACAATGGTTATTTTTAAATTGCTCCATTGGCTGTGCAGATATTCAAATAAGTAGCATATGGAAGAGGTAGTCAAGTTTGTTAGCACCATGATGCTCAATAGGTCAGTGTTTCTTAACGACTGGGTGTTGCATGCTGGTGAAACTGGCCTCCGAGGACTGCTGGGACCGAAAGCGACAGGTGCTGGGTTCTGTGGTTCTCGCCACTGAGTGAGGCGCCACATCAGCTCCACTCCATGTGGCTGTGAGAAGCCCCTCCCGAGGGCACCTGCCACACACACCCCAGCACCTGTGGCTTCCCTGATCGGGGAGCCTGGGCAAGTCCTGTGCCCAACTCACCGGTGGGTTGGCTGCCTTGCTTTCGCTTAATAAAAGGTTCTCTTTCTTTCGAGTAGGAAAATGCCCAGCTAATCAGAGAAGTGGAAGTAGACAGGGTCTCCACGCTCTCCAGGGACCAGGTGCAGGCCATCAAGCAGCTCTGGCTGGACCCGGGAATCCAGGAGTGTTACGACAGGAGGAGGGAATACCAGCTGTCAGACTCTGCCAAATAGTGAGTACAGAGCCTCGGGCGGGCTGCCCCAGGGGCTTGCAGGCCAGCGCCTGCCTGTGCTTCAAAGAAGCTTCTCACCGGGAGAAAGGAGCTGCTTCTAGCTCAGTGGCAACACTCCCTCCCTCCCGCTTGTCTGCATTCCCCCTTTACTTCATGGTGAGGCTCTTCCCACCTCCTAAAACCTTCAGTTCCCCCATGGATCCAGATTTCTGCCCTTGCCCATGCCCTCCTTTCCTCACCATGTCCTGAGCTTCTGTGCTTTTCAATGAGGCCCAATAAAATGTGGAGTTCCCTTGGTGGATCTGATCTCATTTGGGGTGCTGAAAGATCTAAGTGAGAACTGCACCTGCCTTTGGCCTCTACTTTCCTCCTCTCCATGTCCCTTTGCCTTCTGGTTTCCTGATCAGTAGACCCAAGTTCCAATTACCCCAAAATCTAAAATCAGAATTTAGATCGCAGTGCTAAGGGCCCCATCAGTGGCTGGTCTTGTGCTGCCCTCTAGTGGACAAGATAGGCTCTGCGTGCCCAGCACAGGGAGGAAGCTCAGCCCAGGAGCTCTCTTTATTATCAACTTGCAATAGGCCTACACACTGTGTTTTTGATCCATAAAGCTCTAGTTTTGTTATCCTTAGGGTCACAAAAAAATAGATGGTCCTGCATGCAAAGTATCCCAGGGAGATCAGAGAATTTCATTTTCTTAGGAATTTCCTGAGGCAAGGCCTGGGTCAGACAGATCACTGGGCAAGTAATTGAATCATGGTCCTTCTTCAAGAGAGGATTCCTGCTTCTGCAGCTCTTTCCCCCTTGGCCCAAGTCATCTTCCATCTTCTGAGGGCCCCAAAGTCCTTTCCCCCTCGAGGTGTCCCCTTCCCTTCAGGTGCTGCCATCGCCCTCTGAGCTGGCGTGGGTGGGTGACTCGCTTCTGTCACCTGGATGAGGCAGTGAGCAGGAGAGGGAACTGGAGTCTTACCTCTGGCATTGGTCCCTGGCTGAATATTTAATCCATTAATCCAGGTTGGCATAACCTATCTGAGTTCAGGAATATTTAGGTGCAAAGCAGGAAAAGGAAGTAAAAGAAGTCCCACTAAGGTGTCGGATGGGCACAGAAAAGAGCTGGAAGGAAAGCAGGCAGTGTCCCGTAGAGCAGAGCAGACTGCCTGTGAGGGCTGGGGAGCAGGGACAGCCCCGGCCGGGCCAAGGCATCCGGCCCTTCCTTGAGAGCCCAGCATCATTTGCTCTGTGAAGGCCCTGGGGAGGGGCTAGGGCTCTTGATGTAGATCCATTTGGGAAAGACCCACTGGAGCTGCTATAAAGTTCCATGGAGCCCTGAAAATGGGGACAAGTAGGAGAGGAATGATGAAAGTGACTAGGTTGGTGGGCAGAGCTGCAGCAGAGGAAATAAACTCGGCGAGTTGCCCCACCATTGAAACCAGTGAGACGCCTGTGCATTTCCTTGGTCCAGGTCGGTGATTGTGAGTCATGTCTGCTTATTTGGACATTCACGGCACAAAAAATGTGATATGTGCCTACTATGGACCAGGTACCATGGTGAGGGTACAAGTGCTCTCTAACGTCAAGGAACATACAGTCTGGTGGAGCAAGATCGGTGTAGGTAACCAAAGAAAAATCACACATATGGAAGCCAATGACGATTAGCCTTAGGGTCATGTATGGGGCCCGGGGCGGATTGCAGAAGGCCGCCGGGCTTGGAATCACAACTCCATCATTGGCCAGGACGTGAGTTATTTTATTTAAAAAATGCCTTAAGTGCCTCTGGTTTTACCACAGAGAAGTGATATGTTTTAAGCTCAGGGTTTTACTATATGGCAAAAATAATCCAAGACAAGTTTTGGTTTGTGTTAGATGTTTAATTTCCCCGTGTAGCAGGAAAACCTTCTCTTGTTATTTTGAAAGGATTTCCTGTCGGCCTGACTACGCTTTTGTATGCTTTCTTAGAAACTAATTCCCTGAGCAAAGCGCTGCCGAACAGCACATGCAGTCCACAGCGCTCGTGGCCGCGGGCGAGTGTGGGAGGAAGGGCCGCTGGAAGGCGGGGGGCAGGTGCCAACATCCTGCGGTCCCCCTCTCACCGGCCAGTGATGGAGCTGGAACCGGGAGGGAGGGAGGGAGCTGCAGGCTTCCCAGAGGCTCCTGAGGCCCCGATCCAATTCTCTCTGGAACATCTGTAGGAAGGCTGGCTCTCAGGGTCACTGACGGAAGCCAGGCATCTGAGTGGGGGTTGCTCTGAGCCGTGGCAACTTCCCTGGATTGGGATCAACATGTCTCCTTTCTCTAAAATCAGTTACCTGACTGACATTGACCGAATCGCCTTGCCCTCATATGTGCCGACGCAGCAAGACGTGCTTCGTGTCCGAGTGCCCACGACTGGCATCATCGAGTATCCATTTGACCTGGAAAACATCATCTTTCGGTAGGAATGCCTTCCTGGCATGGCCTGTTAAGAATCTGTGCGTGCACGCTTGGGAGACCCCCAAAGGGTCTTAAATATGTTATTCCTAAAAGGGGTTGGACCTTTCAGGGCAGTGTGCCCTCTCCATCCCAGGGTATTTAGGACTGTGGTAGGTCTCACGTGCTAGAATAGAGGGGAACGCACCTTTCTATTATTTCTGTTCCCCTTGGAGATGAGGAGTCTGGGATGACTCTTCTGTGTGCCCCCCCCCCCAACACACACACACTGACTATACTGACGTCTTTTCCATAACGTTGAAAATATTTCTCTTCCCTTTTGTTCCCTTCTCCAAGATTTATCCTTAAAGACACTGAGAATCAATAGAAAGATGTGTATTAAAAATTACATAAGATAATATATAAACTATTTTACAGCTGTATAAGAATTTCCATGTATAAATATAGGAAGTAGTTTTAGGATGATTTAAGTAGATCTTCATTGCATTTAATTATGGCAAAAATGAGTAACAACATGGTACTTATGCATACATAGCACTGCAAATTGCAAAGCACTTTTACATCCATTAGTTCCCTCATTCCTCCTAATAGTCATTATATGCGCCACATCCGGGTCCTGTCTGTAAACCCCACATATCTCAGTGCTCTGGGGCATTGGGGAGCCCTGTGTGAGCATCTCCTGTGCTGTGTGCGCCCATGAATTTTCAGCATCAGTGCTGCTCCCAACTTCCAAAACCTGTATCAGGTCCACAGATGTATTTCCTTTAGCCTACTTGGTATTTTAAAGAACTTTTGAGCCAACATTTTAAAAACTGGGCTGTTTCACTTAAAACATGTTATCTGATCATAGTGAGTGTGCACTTTTGTCCACAGTGGAGAGCCAGGATTCAGCTGTTTAGCAGCCACCCCGCAGAGGGCCCCTGGCCCTCTCGAAGCCCCCGCTCTTCTGCTTTGCAGAGGCTGCCTGACCCTGGTGGCACTCAAGCCTGGGACCGACCCTTTGGCAATGAGCCCCTGCCATCTTTCCCATAGGCACTTTCGCATCTTTCTAGGGAAGAAGGGGCAGCCTCCACCTAATGTAGGACGGATGTGTGGGTAAATGAGAGGACCATGGAAACAGGAAGGGGCAGAGGCCTGGAGAGAGCCGAGTGGACCTGGCAGGCGGCTGTCTTTCTGCCCCTTTTGTGGCCGGTGCCCCAGCACCCCAGTGGGGAGAGTGGTGCCCAAGGGGAGGCTATACTTCCCACCTGGACGATTGCAGCTTCCTCAGCAGTGTCTCCGAGCAGGCTCCACCGGAGTGACCTCTGCACCTGTTTTCAGCAACTTCACTTACACTCTGTCCCCCTTTGCTAGGACACTTCGGTGGCTCCTCAGTGCCCAAAGCGGTCGTGCTCAAACAGCTCAGTTGTGGGTCCCCTTTCAGTCGTAGATCACCAAGGAGCCTCAGAAGCACTGGTTCCCACGGCAGAATGATCCTGCCCTTTTCCAGAGCCGTGTGTTCCAGCCTCTGAGAGGCCTGTGTTTCTGTTGAACAGGATGGTGGATGTTGGGGGCCAACGATCGGAAAGGCGGAAATGGATCCACTGCTTCGAGAGCGTCACCTCCATCATTTTTTTGGTTGCTCTGAGTGAATATGACCAGGTCCTGGCTGAGTGTGACAACGAGGTACGCCGGGTGGGGATTGTGGTGAGCTGTGGAAGACAGAGACCTATTTTCACAGTTTGCAAAAAGCCAGCCAGCTCTGCCATCAGACTGTATTCCTGGGGTTACATGGTCTTGCTATTCAGAGTAGTGAGTAGACTAGCAGCACAGACATCACCTGGATGCTCTAAGAAATGTAGACCTACTAAGTCAACCTAGACCGAGTAAGTCAGAATCTGCATTTTGGCAAGATCCCAGGTAATACCCATAAACCTGTAAGTTTCAGAATCACTGACCCAGAAACCTGGCTCTCAAACTTGGGTGCCCACTGGAATTCCATGGGTACCTGATAGAGAAACCTGGTGGGGAGGGGGTGCAGCCGGGGTGTGGGGTCTAATCTAATGTGCTGCCAGGGCTGGGGCCACTCAAACGCACTGGCTCTCAGCCCTGGCTGCACATTGAAATCCCTTGGGGAGTTTTGAGAAAATACCATCTTTTGGATCCCACAGTAGAGGTTCCTGCTACTGGATTGGAGTATCTTTTCCAAGTCCCCTAGGGATGCTGATGTACACAGCCACAGTTGAACAACACTATTTCTAATAAACTTTACCTGGGAACAGGCTTTCCGACCTGCAGGGCCCTCCCGCATCAGGTCCCAGCTGAGCTGGCAGGGGGAGTGGTACCAGATGCCGGGAGCTGTTTAGGGGCCTCCTGGAAGGGACCAGCTGGGGCTGACCCACCCTGACAGGCTTTCAGTGTCCGCCCGAAAGTGACACTGGCCGTCAGTCACTTCTCTGTGAGGATGGGGCAGTTTCTGTGGGATACCACTGCCCCCCCCCCCCC